ATATGTAACAGGCCCGGTAGTAACAGGGATCGGATATAACAGGACATTTTCTCTACTCCCACCATCCCTGTTATATCAGGTTTCCACTGTATATGATACTGGTTCCTTTTCACCTGTTTGACCACAGTCTCACCCACTGCTATGTGTGGAAAGAGCAAGAAGTCCCAGCAGTGATGACATGTGGAAAGTTCTTGTGAGTTGTCCATCAGATTCCTTTAGAAAACCACCTTTGCATTATACTCTTCTTTAAACTACGGCGTGTTCTTTATGATTCTCAAGTAAGCATTCTTGGACTGTCCCGATCATTTTCTTTCTTCTTTTAGAAGGAACCCTAGAGGTACTCTGAAGTTTTCTTCCTCGTGCCAAAATTGTTTATCAAAGGTTAAAGTATAACTGGCTCTTGTGTAGACTCTTTGGTGTACCTGTCTGCTCAAACTTAAAGAGTACACAAGAAAAGTGGGTTGTGTGGGGTATTATTAATTAAAGAGTACACTAGAAAAGTGTTTTGTGCGGGGTATTATTAAAGAGTACCCAAGAAAAGTGGGTTGTGTGGGGTATTATTAATTAAAGAGTACACTAGAAAAGTGTTTTGTGCGGGGTATTATTAAAGAGTACCCAAGAAAAGTGGGTTGTGCGGGCCTCACTGTGAGTGTGATATGAAAACCGGAATAGGTCAAAATTGAGCGAGTGCTGGGGCATGAGAAGCAGGTTTGAAATATAATTTTAGAACTATCTGCCACTTCCCACTTGAAGTAAGAAAATGAGAGGATGGTTCGTTGAATCTGAGGGAGAGCATAGCATTGTCATCCCATGAAGAAACATGATTCCACTGCTCACATTCTTGCCTTGTGTCCCCAACACGTAGCTGTCTGTACATCTGTGAAATTGTCAATTGTAATTTTCACCACTTCCTAGGCTACCAACTTGTTTCCAAAAATTTATATATTTCTTAGATCATACTGTAAAACTTTTCCCGTGATGCACCACTTCTTGTGGTTTGCTCTGGGTTCAATATATTTTGTTTCCTGTGATCAGCTGGTTTATATTTTTGTGGTTGTTTTTTTTCCTTTTGTCTTAATCACGCTTCATTGTAAAATATTTTTGTGGTATGAGTATGAGGTAATAAATTCTAAAAGGTGAAAAATATGTTTTATGTTTTCACATTTTGAT